CATGGCTAATGTCTTGTTCTTTCGATTCCGAACTATTTGGATCCCAAGAACATGTTGTGCATCTCCTAAATCTTTCATTTGGAATTGCTTAGCTACCCATTCTTTAACGTCATACAGAAAACCTATATCATTCTCATTGAGTAGGATGTCGTCAATGTACAAAAGTAAAAACGCTACAGTGGAATTGACGAATTTCTTGTATACACAAGATTCGTCAACATTTTGCTCAAAGCCATAAGATTTGATCGCAGTATCAAATCTTATATTCCAGGATCGAGATGCTTGTTTCAATCCATAAATAGATCTCTGAAGCTTACAAACCTTTTGTTCTTGGCCCTGTTCAATGAACCCCTCTGGTTGGACCATATAGATACTCTCTTTAAGACTTCCATTTAGGAATGCTGTCTTGACATCCATCTGCCAAATTTCATAATCATAAAAAGTGGCGATGGACAAGAGTATCCTAATCGACTTTAGCATGGCAACAGGAGAGAAAGTTTCCTCATAGTCAACTCCCTATCTCTGGTTGAAACCCTTTGCCACAAGTCGAGCCTTGAAAGTCTGTACTTTCCCGGTATGGTCTCGTTTTCTCTTGTAGATCCATTTACAACCAATTGGCTTTACGTCATTTGGCTAATCTAATACGATTTACTAGTTGTTGAAACATGTTTAGTGGAGTATGATACTTCCACTTTGGTACTTGATTCAGGAGCCACTAATCATATTTGTTTCTCATTTCAGGAAACTAGTTCCTGGAAGAAGCTGGAAGAAGGCGAGATAATTCTCAAAGTTGGAACTGAAGATGTTGTCTCAGCCAAAGCAGTGGGAGATTTAAAGTTGTTTTTTGACGATAGATACATTTTACTAGAAAATGTTTTGTATTTCCTCTTATGAAAAGGAACTTAATATCTATCTCATGTTTATTAGAACAAATGTATAGAATATCCTTTGAAATTAATGAAGCGTTCTTATTCAGAAAAGGTATTCAAATTTGTTATGCTATACTCGAAAACAACTTATACAAGTTAAGACCAACCAGAGCAAATTTTATCTTTATGACTGAGATGTTTAGAACTGTCGAAACTCAGAATAAAAGACAAAAGGTTTCTTCTAACGCTTTATTATGGCACTTCTTGGACATATAAATCTCAATACGATTGGGAGGCTAGTTAAGAGTGGACTTTTAAATAAGTTAGAAGATAAATCCTTACCACCATGTGAGTCCTGTCTTGACGGAAAAATGACTAAAAGATCTTTTACTGTAAAGGGTTTTAGAGCCACGATACCCTTAGAGCTCGCTCACTCAGACCTCTGTGGACCGATGAACATAAGAGCTCGAGGTGGGTATGAATATTTCATCAGCTTCATTGATGATTATTCTAGGTATGGTCATATTTACCTAATGCATCACAAGTCTGAAACCCTTGAAAAGTTCAAGGAATATAAGGCAGAAGTTGAAAACCAAGTAGGTAAATCAATAAAGACACTTCGATCAGATCRAGGTGGAGAGTACATGGACTTGAAATTCCAAGACTATTTGATAGAACATGGAATTCAGTCACAACTCTCTGCACCTAGTACGCCTCAACAGAACGGTGTATCTGAAAGAAGAAACCGAACCTTATTAGACATGGTTCGCTCTATGATGAGCTATGCTCAATTACCTGATTCCTTTTGGGGACATGCGTTAGAGACCGCTATCTACATTTTGAACAATGTTCCCTCTAAGAGTGTTTCTGAWACACCTTATGAGCTATGGAAAGGGCGTAAAAGTAGTTTACGTCACTTTAGGATTTGGGGCTGCCCAGCACACKTGTTGGTGCAAAACCCTAAGAAATTGGAACGACGTTCAAAATTATGCCTATTTGTAGGTTACCCAAAAGAATCAAAARGTGGTTTGTTTTATAATMCTCAASAGAATAAAGTATTTGTGTCGACAAATGCCACATTCTTAGAGGAAGACCACATTAGGAGTCATCAACCTCACARTAGGCTAKTATTKAATAAGATSTCCAAAAACAYTGCAGAAAGAGCTAGTTCATCAACTAAAGTAATTGATGGAACTAACATTTATGGTCAGTCACATCCTTCTCAAGAGTTGAGAATGCCTCGACGTAGTGGGAGGGTTGTTCTTCAGCCTGACCGTTACTTGGGTTTAACTGAAACTCAAATCRTCATACCAGATGACGGCATAGATGATCCATCAACCTATAAACAGGCGATGAATGATGTGGACCGAGACCAATGGATAAAAGCCATGGACGTTTAAATGGAATCAATGTATTCCAATTCGGTCTGGGTTCTTATAGATCAGCCAAATGACGTAAAGCCAATTGGTTGTAAATAGATCTACAAGAGAAAACGAGACCATACCAAGAAAGTACAGACTTTCAAGGCTCGACTTGTGGCAAAGGGTTTCAACTAGAGAGAGGGAGTTGACTATGAGGAAACTTTCTCTCCTGTTGTCATGCTAAAGTCGATCAGGATACTCTTATCCATCGCCACTTTTTATGATTATGAAATTTGGCAGATGGATGTCAAAACAGCATTCCTAAATAGAAGTCTTGAAGAGAGTATCTATATGGTCCAACCAGAGGGGTTCATTGAACAGGGCCAAGAACAAAAGCTTTGTAAGCTTCAGAGATCCATTTATGGATTGAAGCAAGCATCTTGGTCTTGGAATATAAGATTTGATACTGCGATCAAATCTTATGGCTTTGAGCAAAATGTTGACGAACCTTGTGTATACAAGAAAGTCGTCAATTCCACTGTAGCGTTTTTACTTTTGTACATTGACGACATCCTACTCATTGGGAATGATATAGGTTTTCTGTCTGACGTTAAAGAATGGCTAGCTAAGCAATTCCAAATGAAAGATTTAGGAGATGCAAGACATGTTCTTGGGATCCAAATAGTTCGAAATCGAAAGAACAAGACATTAGTCATGTCTCAAGCAACTTATATCGACAAAATGTTGTCTAGATATAAGATGCAAAATTCCAAAAGAGGTTTATTACCTTTTAGACATGGAATTCACCTTTCTCAGGAACAGTGTCCTAAGACACCTCAAGAAATTGAGGGGATGAGACATATTCCCTACGCTTCAGCTGTTGGAAGCTTAATGTATGYTATGTTATGTACTAGACCTGACATATGCTATGCAGTAGGGATAGTCAGCAGATATCAGTCCAACCCAGGATATGATCATTGGACTGCCGTTAAAAATATCCTCAAGTATCTTAGGAGAACGAGGAACTATATGCTCGTGTATGGTGCTAAGGATMTGATCCTTACTGGATACACTGACTCTGATTTTCAGAACGATAAAGATGCTAGAAAATCTACATCGGGATCAGTGTTCACTTTGAATGGAAGAGCAGTAGTGTGGAGAAGTGTAAAGCAAACTTGCATTGCAGACTCCACAATGGAAG